CCCCGGCCACGCCGCGCTGGCCCTGCCTGTCTTGGGGACACCAGTAAGTCACCACCTCCCCGAGCCTCAGACGCCATTCCCTGCGGCGGAGTAATCTGCCTGCCAGCCGGCGGCAGGGCACCAGGGCAGAGGCTGGTTCCTTCCTCAGCCAGGGCTTCCCCGAGTGGGCGGGGCTCCTGACACCGGGCCTGCTGGCTGGCCTGCTGCACTTCCCAATCCTGGCTGCAGGGCTTACTGGTGTGACGTAGGACAAGTTGTTTAACATCCTTCCATCTGTTACATGCGAATAGTGACTCCTAACCCCAGGCCTGGCTGGGAGAGGGGGCCCCCCACCCCGGGGTCGCCCCAGGCGGAGCTGAGCCGTGCTCCCTGGTGAGGGGTCTGAGGGTGGCCAGCCGGCAGCCCCTCTCCTGCACAGTTTGGCTTTGCTTCCAGAGCCGGTGAACACGAGGCTGACTGAGCTCATGCTGGAGTGGGGGTGCCAGGTGTGGGCCCCAAAGTTGGTTCCAGGGTCATGGGATCACTTGTGGCAACTTTCCTTCCCCCTGGTGCACCCCTGAATTAGTGAACTTGGGGCTTTGTTAAGTTATTTTTAATATACAAGCCTCTGGTCCTTGGAGACCCAGTTTGAGTGCCTGCGGGCTACTGGCTCGGTCCTAAAGCCTGAGGTGCTCTCCCCGAGCGGGGCTGCTGCTCTCCATCGGCTCCTGACCTCTCTCTCCTCTCAGACCATCAGTGCTACAACGGCTCGGGCACGGACTACCGAGGGACGGCGAGCACCACCAAGTCAGGGCACCAGTGCCAGCCGTGGGCTCTGCAGCACCCCCACAGCCACCACCTGAGCAGTGCAGACTTCCCGGAGCTCGGCGGGGGGCATGCCTACTGCCGGAACCCCGGAGGGCAGATGGAAGGCCCCTGGTGCTTCACGAAGAATAAGAATGTGCCCATGGAGCTGTGTGACGTGCCCCCGTGCAGTAGGTTCTCTCTGTTGCGTGCACTTGGTTTGCCCTGGCCCAGGGGCGAGTGCTGTCACCGCCCCTCCATGGCCAGGATCGCTTGTTTTATGTAAAACTGTTGCTGGTTATAAAAGTAATAGCTGGTCATTATAGCACGTTTTACTTCATAGAAAAGTCTGAAGAGTCATGTGCAAATCACCCCTAATTTCCTCACTGTTTGCATTTGGCTCCTGTCAGCCCTTTTCCTGTGCATGGTCCTGGGACATTCAGTTTGCCTCTTGCTTCTCCATCAACATGATTACGTGGCATTTCCCAGTGTTAGCTGGGGCCCGGGAGGCAGCTCCTCGCCGGGGTCTGACCGGGCCCTGCCTGGCCTCCCTAGCTCCCACGCAGCTCAGCAGAATGAGAGAAAATTAGAATCTATATCTCTTACCCATTGGCCCTGCAATTTCTCTGTTGGATTATGAAAAGGAGAACACCTTGGCGTTAACGGTTGCAAACTCTGCAAACATTATTATCCTGTATTCCAACATATACTCCCACCAGCTCCACTCGGCTGGATCCCTGAGATTGGGCTGCTCCTGAGTTTTCCGTTTTGGAGCCTGGAGTAGAGGGTTGGAGGGAAATCACCAGGAGAAGACTGATGGAGAGGGAATGGGTGAAGCACACCGAGGCTCACCAGCCGCCCAGAAGCCTCTGCCAGCAGCGGTGAGGCTGGCCTGCCCCCAGCCTGCAGCGATGGCGGGGCCTGCCTCCAGCGGTTTTGTGCAGCGATGGCGGGGCCTGCCTCCAGCCTGCATACTGCGCTGCGGGTCCAGACCTGGCACGCCCACCGCTTGGCCGCTCAGCACATCTTCAGCAGCATGTTCACTGCGGAGTAAACGTCAGGCGTGGAGATGTCAGTTAGATTCCGCACAGCTACGCTGTGGAGGGCTACAGGGTCTGAGAGTGTGCTGCAAGGATGTGCATGATCAGTTCAGGAGCAGGAGCAAGTTGCAGGCCATTAGCTGTGTTCTGTCCCTCCCCTCTCTTACCTCCTTTCTCTTCCTTTCTGTTTTCAGAAAAATAGAAAGAAAGCTCTGTGTGTGTGCGTGCATGTGTGTGCGTGCTCGTGCATGTGTGCGTGCATGCATGCATGTGTGTATGTATGTGTGCGTGTATGCATGTGTGTATGTATGTGTGTGTGCGTGTGCATGCATGCATGTGTGTATGTATGTGTGCGTGTATGCATGCATGCACATGCACATAAGCCCTATATTTCAGGGTGAAGTTTGGGGAAGATGCTCATCAAACTTTTAGCAGTGATTTCCCATGACTTACAGATACATTAAAATATAAAACGTTTTTATAATGAGTAGTTATTACTTTTGTAGTTACAACAAAATCAAAACATAAAGAAAAAAATGCATGTTCTTTGACTCAGCAATCGCAGGGATCTTATATTGCAGAAATATTTGTAGCTAGAGGGCAGACATGCAAGGATATTTGTTACAGAATTACTTGTAATGGCTGAATAAGCAGACAAGTTGTTTGCCTGTAGGGGCTGGTGGTACACAGGCTAATGCATGGCCACCAGGGGGCGCCCGGAGCTGTCTGTCCTGAGAGCAGCGCCAGGTCCGTTTTTCTGCCACAAAACCAGAAGCGGGTTGCGGACGATGTGACTCTATGAACTCAGACTTCTGTTTTATGAAACTGGTGCTTCTATGTATAAAAATAGTTGAATATTGTTATTCCATGTTCAACTTAAAGTCGGGGACAGCAACCTCGGCCGTGGCATAGTCTTGGTGACGTGGGCTGTTAGGACTAGTACAGCTGTTAACACGCACGGGCTGTGTGTGATTTTGTTTATTTTTATTAATCCTCTCCTGAGGATGTTTTCCCCATTGATCTTTAAGGAGAGTAGACAGGGGAGGGATTGGTTGCCTCCTGCACACACCGACTGGGCCTGAGGCACGTGCCCCTGACCAGGATCAAACCTGAGATCCCTCAGCCTGTGGGCGGCACTGTAAGCACTGAGCCAAATCGACTGAGTGTAATTTTAAAAAGATAACGGTACGATAAATGTCATGCTCGCGGTTGGGCGGGCTCACACCTCTGACGGCCTGAGGCTGTGGATGCTCCCCGAGCCCTGGTGATGAAAACTGAGTTGCACTGCCCGGGGCTTCTAGACCACCTGCCCCCGGAGGCCCGGAGCGGCCTGTGTGGCCTTATTTCATTTGGGAGCCAGGAGACCAGGTCGGGTCTGGGACGAGGCTGTGTGACTGTAGTGGCGGTAGAGGTGGGTTAGCTCCTCCAGAGACTGTGTTGGCCAGAAACTGCTTGTCACCTTTCAGGTGGAGAGCTGCTCCTGGCCCTGCAGGGGGGGCAGAGCGCTGCTCCCCTCCTGGCCCTGCAGGATGGCACTTCTGGATTCTGTGCCCCTGCTGCCTGGGCCCCTGGTTGGTCAGTGCCACTTAAATGCTCTTCTAGTCATTGTCCTAAGAGAACAGACTGATATTAAAAAATGTGGCCCATCCTAGTGTACAGGATGAAGAACAGGTCATTTCTAATCCCAGTCTGAGCTTCCTTCACTGAGGACATGGGTTCATGAACGTGAACCTGGCCGCGGCTGTCCAGGGGGTGCGCAGGAAACGCAGGGGCAGGAGCTGGGAGCTGCCTGTCGGTGCCCGCATTCCCACTGCTCCTGGGGGGCTCAGGGCCCATTCCGCAGTGCAGTGTGCACCGCCCTTGCTCTCAGGCTGGGCTGTAATTTACCCCTTCGTGCAGCTGACCCGGTCCCCCCATGGGCCTAAGGGTTGCGGGTGGAGGGGAGGGGCTGTAATTTACCCCTTCGTGCAGCTGACCCGGCCCCCCCATGGGCCTAAGGGTTGCGGGTGGAGGGGAAGGGCTATAATTTACTCCTT